TGGTGCTAGGGTATTGATCAAATTAATGAATATATCAAATCAATAAATGAAATTTCAGTTTCCATCGATGACCATATTGATTGCAATGTCCCAATATTTGATGACATCGGTTATTTATATTTATTCAAATTGCAAAAGCGGACAAAATGTAAAAGTTGCCGTAAGTTAATATTTTTAGAAAAGATATTTAAATATAATATTTAAAAAAAAAAAAACAGGCTGACGATTTGACTGAAAGCTTATGCAGCGGTCCTTGGCCGGATCCAAGCGTGATTCCTACTTTGCATATATTGGCAGTGGACGCGCAGAAGATCTTTGTGGCCCGTGGTGGGCCGTTTTTCATCTTAAATCTTGAGTTTTTCGCTACGTTGATGGGTGCTGTTTTGTCATATTTTATTATTCTACTGCAAGCAAAGGATTGATTTATTTAAATTGAAAGAATTTTTATTCCAATTCAAAACAATTTTCCTGATCAGAAACTATTAAATTTGGTCCAGAGGGGAAGTAACCAAAAATTGGGGCAATGTGGTTGAGTTTGACAGTTGAAAAAGAAACAAGGCAGTGCGGCGAATATCAAAAAGCTGGAGGGCGCGCGGTGATTATTACTAGGCCTGGCGCTACAAACTCACGGGCTGGGCCATTGTGTTGTTCAAAGTGTGCTAATTAAAGAAACTAATTAATTCCAGCTGTGGCGGCCCGGCGGAGGCAGCATGCTCTTGAGGCAGGGCCATATTTATTTTGCGAATGTATTAATTACATTTCGCGGAATGAAAAGTTTGGGCCGAGTGCGAGGGCCTTTCAAGTGCAGCCTCTTCATGCACAACACGCCAGAATTCTGCTATATTAACAGCAACTCTACATTTACTTTGCTCTCCATTCGCCTCTGACCCTTAGCTAGTAATTAAATTTCACTCTGCCGTCGAGCCGCCGCCGCCACCACCGCTCGTCTTCTTTTTTCTCCGCCGAGCTGCTGTACAATTTGACTGGTCTGCCATTCAATTCAAATGTTCGCTCAAAAGAGATGCCAAATTGCTTCATCAAGAGGCTGCCTGGTAAGCCAGCAGATGGACCGGGAAATTCTCCATCAAAGAAAATGAGCACCGGAATATTTTATTTTTAGCTCGGAAAATTTAATTATGGGGGAAAAAAGAGATACATAATTATTTTTGCTGGTTTCATTAATTTCATTTAGATTTATATTAGTTAATTTAACTTTTCAGGGATTGAATTTCCCTCTTAGGTTAAAAAAAAAATTAAACGAGGAAATACATTACATTTTTTTTTACTGCAGATATTCAAAGAGTTGGGGAAAACAATTAGGGGGTTTTGGGGGTTTCAGCGCTGTCGAAAGAACAACTTGCTGCCCTCGCGAGGTACCTCAAGTAAAATTGTATCAGCCTAGTAAATAGAAGAGAAAATTAAATTTAGAGTTTCATACAGCACAATTGTCGCCGGAATGAGCGCCACGCCTGCCAGCAACGCACAAAGCTAATCTGGCTTTTATGAATAATTGCACTAGAGCGGCGTAATGACGTCGCAAGTCAACCATTGAATGAATATTAATGTCGCAATTAAGGCGCGGTGCACTCGCAAAAGTACACACCGTGCGTCACTTGGAGCAAAAAGCGTCGCTCTAACAACAAGCGTGCTGCGACAGAGCCCGCCAAGGTACTTGTTTCAATTACGAAAAAGCAGCTGTGCACGTCAAGGTTGTTAGCTTCGGGTGCGAAAATTCGCTCTTGATTAAAGAACGTTTCGTCATTATTATAAATTATGGAGTTTTTCGAGCGTCCTAAATTCTACTTTAACCAATAAAATTTATCCACTTGAATGGGCTCTATCAAGGAGGAAAAAAATTAATATAAAAATAAATTTGATAATCTTCCTACAATTGATATGTTTTCAGTTTTCATTCAGATGGATCAAGATAAACCAAAAACTTGATTAGTTGAAAGAAACTGGTAAAAAAATATAACAATTTAAACAAATAAACAAAAATAATGACCTGCGAAATGTATGATTATGATAATGCCTGAATTAAAAAAAGAAATTATTTTAATTTTAACAATAAAAAATGATTTTTATTAAAATTATACATTTTACTAACCTTGTAATGAAATTTTTCCGAACGGTCTATGTTAATTTTAAATAATTAATTTGCTGCAAAGTTTTCAACTATGAAAAATAACCTTTGTTTTTCATCCTAATATTGTAATGTTAGAGTCTGCAAGACAGGAAAAATTAACTGCCGGCGAGTCTGGATTAAGTGGCAGGTTGGCAAAAGATGCCGCCGCGTGCTCTCTCTCTTGAGACATTGTTCCGTGGAGGAGAATAAGTTTGAAGGACCCTCGAAGCAGAATAATAAGCACTGCTGGCGCCGCGTACGCTTGTGTATTCGTGTTCTAGAATAATGTAGGCAAATCATTTGGCCACTCTAACAATAAGGTTCTTTTTATGCCAACGCGCAGCGCACGTTCCTGCTAATTAATTAGAACCCTTGCCATGCAGTCCGTGTTCCTTAGAATTGGAAAATAAAACTGATTGCGCAATTCTACGTTGCAAGCAAATCTAAACTAAACTCCCAAGTTTTAATAAAGATATTCAATTGCTGGATTTTTTTTAAATCTATGCATGAAGGTTAGGAATAAAAAACCGAGTTATGTAGAATGAGTCAAGCTTAAGTCAAACTTTCTATGTATAAAATCAATAGGGGGTTGAAAAGTAGCATTTCTTGGCTGCAGCTTCCTTGACAGGATCATCCCACCCTCGTGGGGGTGCAGACAATCAAACACGCGGAGGTGTTTGGCGGTGCAGAAGAGGCGTTGTTTGACCTGGCCAAGACCGTTCGACCGTCATTAGTCTGGCGTGTTTGCCTGAGGGAATCGGACGAGAATGTGTGTTTCGGCCGGTGCGTGCGTAATCTCGACAAAATTCGAGGCACGTCGCACGCCGAGACGTCTGCTACAATAATCTGGACCGCTGCCGGCTGTGATTGCATCCGAGATCCGAACTGCAGGCGCCAAGAATAATTTCTCAATCAAATGATCTCCGGGAGAAGTTGCCGAAAAGAAAGTTTCCTTCTGGCGCTTTTTTATTTGCACTGCCGGATCAGTGCGATTCTTATCGGACCGCTTGGTCAGACGCTTGTCGGAAAACGGCACACGTTAAATCGACTTTACGCAAGCTGACGGTAATTCTACGCCAGACGTTTGACTTTTTAAACAAATAGGACTGCGCTTTGTTTCTCACCAGACGCAAGATTTAATCTTGTTACTTGTTAATTCCATTGAGTCGGTCTGTTCAAACACGAATGACTATAATTGTTGCAATTTGCATCACTAAAATATCAACTTCCACTTAAATTTCGAGTAAAAAAGATCAAAACTATAAAAAAAAATTGGCATTCACACTTGTGATATTATTTCGGGGGTGTGTCAAAACTTATAATAATAATGATCAATTAGTATATTTACGTATTGGACACATATTGTAATTTTAAAAGCTGAATAATTCAATCAGGAAATAACATAATATAAATTTAAATAAATTTTATTTCTTATTTGTTTTAAAATATTTTACAAATTTAAATTTTATATTATGAGTATTTATTTTTAATTTGGATGATTTACTTGCGACCTTTTATAGACTAAATGAAATTATAACTGTGGGTTTTCAGTTTGTAAGCTAGTATACAGTTAACATAACATCAATTGAACTGTCTTATGAATCACAATAATTAACTTGCAGCAAGAAAGTAAATAAATGTTCATTTCATTCAATTAAATGAAGGATAACACATTTTTATATGGAATAATATATAGCTTTGTAGATTGAGCACGATCGCTACAGCTCATCGTGTCTATTTCCAGCGAGTGTAATAACCATCAGTGCAATTCAACTGCCACGTATATGAATTTTAATACACTTGGCGCACACAAAAGACTGACCACGCCGCGAACGGGTGCGCGACACATATGAAATAGTGTCAGTAATAATAGTTATAGTGATTGCATGGGAAAATGCAAATGCCAGAAAATTGGAAACACGGATGGCGGCAGACGGAAGTATAATTATATTGATACGCTCCAATTGATTAGCATCGCGGCCATTCTTTTGAACGAATGGCTCGGACGATAACACCATCCGAAGTTCTGTTGTGATGGAATCGTGTTTTAATAATGCCATAAAGGTGGGGGAAGAGTTTTTTTGTGTTGATGCTAAATGAAAAGTTAATTTTGCATCGCGGTGCGCGCGCGCGCACCAGAGCGGGGCACCCTCGCTTTGCCGTTCTTTTGCGCGTTTGTTGTTCGCGATGCTAGTGTAATAATGCCTGATGAAATTTAATAATTTAGCGCTCCACCATTATGAAATGGTGCATTATACATTTGCGCCCCATAGCGCGCAGAGGGCTTTGCCGCGTCGTCGCTAGAACTGCGCTGGAATTTTTATCGCCCCGCCAAAAGAGAGAACCGGAGCGGCAAAAATGAAGCACCTGAGTGCCTGCTAAATTATTAATCGCAGCTAGTAATTAGGCGGGTAAAAGTGAGAATTAACTTCAAGCATTATTCCGAAGCGGGAGAACCGCACAATTAAGCGGTTATTGGCTCATTCGATGGCTGATTAGATTACATAATGTTCGATTAATAGAAATTTTGAGGTTAAACTTCCACCCTGAATAAAGTTTTTCAATTCTTCTTCTTCTAACTAGATCCATTAATACATTGATGCGAGATTTTGACACAGAATTGTTTAATTTTTGGAAGATTATTTAATTTTAATGGGTTAAAATTATTTGTATTGATATTTTTTTTTTAAATACACCCCTATTAACTTAATTATGATTCTTCTAATGTTTATTTTTTTCAGCACTTGTGCATTTTTGTCTAAAATAAAGTTTTATTTTTAAAAATTTTCCTTGAACGATAAACACGAAGAAATATATAATGTTGAAAATATGGCAAGAAAAACAATTTTTCAAAAATTAAAAAAAAACCACTCACCGTTCCAGGAGCAACCGAAGAGCTCTACACGCATGCAGACTGTGCGTGGATGTTCACTGAAGGGGATGAAACGCACCCTGGAAGCCACAAAGGGCACTTCCAGCTCGTTCTTGTTGGTGATGTAAGTATTGGTGTTGCCAGGGAGCACCTGTGGAGCAGAACGGCGATAATTTAAAAACGCGAATAACATTCTCCCGGAGCCATAAAAGAGCATGCGAGAAATTTGGGGGGTTTTCCGCAGTCAAACTGCCCGAGGGCGCAATTCATAATTCATTTTGCGCCACCGTGAAGTGTGTGTGATGAACGAGAGATAAAAATTTTAAGCTCGGGGCATATTCCGGCTGAGCTGACCACATATGCACAAAGAGGCTGCTGCTGGGCACACGTTGACCTTTGCAATGTGTGTATTTATAGGTTGCTCCATTGTTTGTGGCATTCTCATAAAACATAAAGTCTGATGAAACTTTGCGCAGACCTCAAGGGAAATCTGCGGACCGCAGAGTGACAGGGTCTCCGAGCAGCCGAATGTTTGCGCACCGAAGAATCCCTGCCAAGGCTTAATAATAATAAACGGTCGTCATTAATTTCTCCTGGGGAATTTTTTAATTTGTTAAATCTGGCCTGAGACGTGCATGCCGCAGTTACAAGGGAGCGGAAGAGGAGACGACAGCGGGCAAATAATGAAAGAGAAGAGAGGTCGTGACATCTTGGCCCGGTCTAATCTCAGTCAGTCTCGGGGAATGCGGCGAAAAGATAAGACTTGTCAGCCAAGACAAAAATTCCATTAATCAGAGCTATCCCTGCAGGTTCGTCAAACGCAAAATAACTATTGAGTCAGATTTCATGCGTGGCGTGTGCGTGAGCCAAATGGATTTCAAGCAGAGTCAGCGACTGTGAAACGAGTGGAAAATAAAAGCGGGTGTCGCGATGTGTTTTCGCCCTGCCGGAAAAAGTCAGTTGGGAATTCGGCAGAGAGAGCGGAGCTGCTGGGAGACGTTTTTACTATTTTGCATGACTGACGCTCTTTTCAGGACGAAATTTGTGGGAGTGGGGTGGAAAAGATCTCGCCTGGCCTTGCGCTTTGATTTTATTCACTCACTTTAAGAAATAAAAAATGTGCCGTAGATGAAGGTAAATAATCAGATTCAGTTCACAATTTTGTCAAAATTATTTTGATCAAATTTGCAATTTTTTATCAAATTATTTTGCATTCAATGTTGGACAAATGTTCTTGACTTTGCGTTAATAATTAAGCAAATATGATTATTGAGTAAATAACCTTACCAGTTTAAATTACCTTATTGTAAGTCAATAGTGACTTTTTGTTATTATATTGCTTCTTATTAATTAATAATGATTATTTTTTTTTAATTTGGATATTTTTTACCTTTTTAAAAGTTTATTATTTATAAAAAAAATAAAAAGTATTTATTTAGCGTACTTAATTCATTATTAAAATTGGAGTTTATGTTTAAGAGAAAGCAAAATTATCATGCTATTACTTAATGGAAAATTCATTTAAAAAAAACGGCAACATTTTATTATTTAAGTTTACAGGCTGAGAGCAAAACTTATAATAAAATTTATCTTGCACGCAACGCAACACATTTTTCGGTTTTAATTAATTAATTAAATAGTAAATCAATAATAAATCTGAATTTTCAAATTCAACGAAGAAAAAAAAATGAAACATGTAATTCTAAATTTATTAATTCAATTCATTCGAAGAAAGCAATAGTTTGTTAAATCTTGCAAAGTACTGAAATATCGCTTTTACTTTCATAATTTTTGAAAGAAGGTAGAAAACCACTCGTACTATACTGAATTAAAAAAATGGGATTGAGAATTTATAGCACAGCTTTGCTACGGAGAACAACACCATAACAATGAAAAGGGGTTGAGAGCAAAAAGCGACACTTTTCCAACAATCACACACATCAAAAGAGTTGCACGCGTTTGTGGCAAATGTCACTTCATCTAGAAACTTGTGATTCCGCCCCATTCACAGCAATGCGAGACGAACGCACTCACTTGCAAAGAACAAAGAAATCACTCTTTCAAAGCGACAAAGAGCGACCCTTTTTAATTTACCCGACGCGTCTCTGCAATGGTGCAATAAATGAGTGCGTGTGTGTTTTGGTTTGGCTGCAATCACATTTCAAGTGTCTCGCTGTGATTTGATGCAGCCGAGGGCAGTCACGCATAGATAATTATATGCAGCTAGGGTTCGTGAAAGATCCCGCCGCACTTTGGATTTATTCGCACCCTCGCTTTTTTTAATCCATTCCACGCAATGTGCGACGCGAATGCACTCTTTCGGCGAGAGCCATTAATTTGTGTAATGGAAGAGCTGCAACGGCGTTCAAATTAGAATTTATGCGCGCGGCCGAGATTTATCTTTATATGAATTTTGCCGAGCACGTTTTGTTTCCAGGCAGGACTTTTGGTTCGGCGGACGAGAGTGGCAGCCTCCAGAGCACAATTTTAAAAACTCATTTGCAAAAATGTTTTAAACGTTCTCGCGCGAATAATGCATTATGTCCTCCTCCCTCTCATCTCGCGGGCGCAGTCGAGAGATGATCTCTGCAGCGCACACCGCCGCTAATGGAGATTGCTTTCTCTGCAGTTTATCCTCGGCAGAACATAAACAACACTCGAGTGCACTTTGTGTTCTTAGCGGCGCGAACAATTACACTTCGCTCGCTCGGCCGGCTCAAATAAAATGTGCAGATGTGTGAGTGTCTCTGCGTATCATTTTTAAGATGTTATTCTTCATTTAGACGAGTTGATATGAAGAGGAAAAAAAAATTCTTTTTAAAAGCCCAAGCTTTCTTTTGTATTTCTTTCACTCGCTTCCACTTTAGAATGTTATTTTAAGGGAAAAGAACTTAAAAACCTGTATTTTAATTCAGATGAATCTCTTTTCACCCCGTTTTTTCAGGCAATTTTTATTTATACTTCGTATAATTTAATTCAAAGCTAATAACAAAAATTGTATTTGTAATCCAAAATATGCAATACTATATTCAAATTTATCAATCTAGTCTGAATCTGATTATCTCCCAAAAAGGCTGGAACATATTATTATTGAACTCTTGAATCGATTAAGCTTTAATTAATTTCGGACGTCTAAATCATATATTGTTCCAAAGAGCGTGAGTGAAAATTGTTGCAGCGTGGAATTCCATGTTTTAGCGGCGGCGGGTGCGAGAGCGAAGAAGCGATGCATTAAAAATGAACCTGCCACTCGTGAATATTCATGCATTATCTTTTGTTTGTTGTTCGAGCTTAATGATAATCATACGCACGTTAAGCTCCTGCCGCTTCTATGCAGCTCACAAAGAGAGTAAAGTAATTATCCTTTCGCCACACACATAAGCCCGGCTGCCTTTGTGCCTTGCAAAACGCGCGCACGTGGCCTAAATAATAAAATACGCACGCACGCCGGTGCTGTCCGGCGATAGAAGAAAATAAAAAACAGAAAAAGTGCGAGCGAGTGTGTTTTATTTTGACTAGTCGCTTAAAAGTGTGGTGTGTGCGATGCGTGAGCTTTCATTCCGCTTTTTGTTTACTATTTCAACCTCTTGCGGAAATGATATATTTATATTTTTACAGAGCTAAATATTTTCATTTTTATCATTTGGAGAAAAATTGCTTTTAGACAGAACGAAATTTTTTAATTGTTTGGAGAAAAATATAATGAATTGAATTGGGAGTCTTATGAGAACACGAGGCCAAGTTAATTTTTAAATAAAATTTATTTTATTATGAAGAAGGAAGGTGAGTTTATTTTAATTTAATTTAAATTTTTAATTAATTAATAAAATAAAAGTTTGGGAAAATATTTTTTGCTGCTCAATAAATGGCATTTAATTTTTACTTAATTTTGTTTAATTTAATATTTTTGTAATTTGTTTTATTTTTACATAATGTGAAATAATTTTTTTTTAATTAAATCTAAATAAAAACTTTTCATGATCCTCACTGCTCGTTTGGTATTTAAATTGATTTATATAAAATATTTCTTGCTTTTCAATTGCAAATACTAATGTGATAATCATCAATGATAATTTGTTTTGTGACAGTTTTTTACTGATCTTTCAAATGAGTCCTAGGTATCAGTAGTCGTGACTAGTAAACAGTTCATTTGAGGATTAGTGTTCATATCGGAAATATATCATATTGTTTCTATGTCCAAACAATTCCTTAAATATAAAGATTAATACCCAAACTAAATTTCTAGTTTAGTAAGATATTTAGATGTCAATAAAGAGAAGTGATGATTTCACTAAAAGCATATAATAATAATTTGCACAGTATAATATTCCAAGTAGAGCCGTTTTATTTGTGAATAAAAACAATTTTATAACAAAAAAAGCCCGATTTCTTCACTTCCATAAATTTTTTCATTCAAAAATTTGATGAAATATTTTTGAAGTATTAGAAAATTGTGAGATATGAAACAAGTCTTTTCATTTCATTGGAATAATTTTAATACTTAGCCAAAATAGAGCGGTGCAGTGAGTCTCAAGTTTTTATTTTCATAAAATTTGTGCCCCTTTTGCCAGAGGGCAACTTATTTGTCCAGCAAAGAGACCGGACCTCAAAAGTGGGTTGGTCAGGGCAGATGGAGAAGCCGAGACATTGTGAAGAGCGAGTGGACGACCGGTTTGTCTTTGTCATTATTGCGCAGGATGCAATTACTGTTTCTGCAAACATCCGCAAACACCCCCAGCAGCAGCAGCTCCGGACGGACCACCGTCGGGGCGGTTTCGCGCGTTGTTTGCGCCCACTTCGCCGTGTAAATATTAAATGCGCGCGCTACATACACGTGTAATAAATATAATCAGAGGCAAAGGCCCCCGCATGCATACATGTTCGGCTTTGTGCGCGCAAACAGACGCAAAATGCCCTGGGATTAATTCGGCTGGGCCTAGTGCTGGCGAAACGAACGCTTTTTGTGGCCGCCCAGAGTACTTTCAATATGTATGAGGGATTAATTTGAATTAACTCATATCCGAAATTACTCTCTCATCACATCATTTTCACGTGCGTGCTCATTGAAATGGGCGGATATTGAATATTGTTCATTTTGCTGAATTTCAGATATGCATAAATATAAAATACGAACTGGAGCATAGAATTGTGTCTAGTTAATTCAAACGTATTCAAAAGGATTAAATTGGATATTGATGGACTAAAAGCAAGCCTGCCGATTAGCTTGAATTTAGGTACGGAAGATTTGGGAGGAAATTTATTTAAAAAAAAATCAAAATATTAGTATTCAATAAATATTTAAATTTTTTTTTAATTTTTCTATTCTTAATATTTTGGAAAAGAATGAAAAACAATGAAAAAAATTAGGCTTGATTTTTGCGTGAATAAAATATTAAAAATAGAGCAATTAAGTTTTTTTCTGAACATAAAAGCTAGAAAACATTAATTTTTATTTTTTAGGAATAATTATATTAAAAAATAAAAATAAAAAATAGCTATCAATTTCAGAATTTCAATGTAAAATTCAAAAATTTATAAGCAAATTTGGGAATATTTTTGCCACCTGTTACATTATCTGTTTCAAAACTGTTGTCAATTTTTTAATCATAAAACCGAAGCCATGAATAAGGCCGCCTCATTTTGTGGGATGAAAGTGACTTTTAAATATTAAATGGTATTAAGAAATTACAAAATTAAGCACTGACCTTGTCGCCTCTGGCGTCCCTGTAAAGGACCCATCGTCCTAAAGTGTCTCTCCAATACTCAATGAGATACGCCTCCGCAAATTCCTGGCCTTGGCCGTTTCCGAAACGGCCTTGCGTCTCCAGATGGGTCACCAGGTGCTCGTGGGGCAGTTTGACCTCGAGGAATTCGCGCACTGATCGACTGATCACCTCCTTTGGACACCACGCGCCTCCGTTTTTCTCCTGCCGGACTCTGAAAGCAAACGAAAAAAAGTGAAATTAAAATTGATAAATCGTCCATGAGTTTGGGGAAAAAGCAGTTTGCTCGTCCGTTGGATAAAAAATTCCTCTCTGCGTTTTATACGAAAAAAAAAAATCTTTTTCCAACGCACAACTTTTCATTCGCGCTGCGAGAGTGGCCGCGCTTTTTAATCCATTATTTCAGCGGAAATGCTGGCAGCCGCAAACTGCAAATCGATACCGAAACTTTTACATTTGCTGAGCGCGCGGCCGTTTTTCCGCGGTTTGACCCCAGGAAATAATAGGATGGATGGAGAGCGAACGGTCGGTTGACAATGCGCGCGTGCAGTTATGAAAATGATTTCCTCTGAACTGAACCAAAAAAAGAATGGTTTTGTGCACCGACGCTTTGATGTGGCACTGCTGTTTTGCATACACAAAAACGCTAATCCGTAATCCCTTGGACTGGAATATTATTTCATGCGATGAAAGAATACATAAGCCTCTCTTTCGGTGGCCACCGAACTCTTCTCACTCACACAGAGAGCACTGCCCTTCTGTGTGAGCGCCCACTCGGTCGGTCTCGCGTGCCCGTTTGTAGCACAAAGGACGCGAGGCTCAACGTTTTTTACGCGTTTTCTCGCAAATGAGCGCGCCGATCGGATTTGGGGCGGAACAAAAAGACATCGTTCCACTTGCAAAAACACATTTCACGTAATAAGCATTCCGTTTGAAGTCATTTGAAATGGCTTTGGAAGCTTTGGAGACGGAAAAAATAATTATTTGTAGCCATTGAATTATTTTGCAAGCTAAAATTAATTTTGAAAAATGAATTATTTATACATTTTTGCAAGCAGATCTTTTTCGTGGCCAAATTGGATAAATATAGCATTTTAAATCAAGGTAAATCAATCAATTAATTTTTTTTTATGCTTCTGTTAAATAAAAAATTTAATCAGACAAGCATTAAATATAAAAATAAATGAATAATTTTATATATAAAAATTTGATTAATAAATGTAATAAAATAAAATTAATATTAAATATTCTAAAAAAAAAATGCAATATTGTTGGAAACCTCAGTGTCATTTAAAAATATTATAGATTTTAAAATTAAAATAGAATATTTGGTATTTATTCAACACAGCTAGGGGTGAACAACAAGAATTTACATTGATTACAAAAAATAGATTAAATATAATAGCTAGCCATACAATTCTAAAGTAACATACAACGACTGTCGTTAAAAGGGTGGACCGCCTTTCATCCGAAAGGAATTTGTCCGAAAATGCCTTTTGGGACTTCATCCGAAAATTTGGAAATTGTCCGAAAAAAATCGGAATTTATCCGAAAGGAAATAGGCCGAAAAAAATCGGAATTCATCCGAAAGAAAATAGGCCGAAAATACCTTTTCGGACTTCATCCGAGTTATCCGTCGCTGGGGAATTAAATAAATTTTTGATATTTTCATATGTTCTTTTATTAATGTGATTAGACAAGTATAAATTCTGTTCCATCTGATAAATTTGTGGCATAAAAATAAAAATGGTAATATTATTATATTATATTATATTCTTTTTAAATTATTGCATTGAGCTTGATGTTGGCAAAGTTTTAGTTGGATAATTAAAAATTATTTATTTTATAACAATGCCTTAAAAATGCCAATTACCTTAGGAATGACTTACTGAAAATTGAAAATTTCCACGTGTAACTTGTGTCCCAATATATGCTGAGAAAAATGTGTCACGTGACGTGCGCTTGTGTCGCTTTGTCTGGTAAGTTTTGTCTGCTGTAACTTGTTGCCGCATCACAAAACCACACAGTTTTTCCAAACTTTTTGCCAGGTATAAGAAGTGCCATTTCCGTTTATCTCAAACTTGTTTATGTTCAAACTCCTAATACAGTTGATTGATAAAAAAAAAAACGGTATATAGTTTTCATAGCCGGTTTTCGGATTAATTCCGATTTTTTTCGGCCTATTTCCTTTCGGATGAATTCCGATTTTTTTCGGACTAATTCCAAATTTTCGGATAAAGTCCAAAAAGGCACTTTCGGACTAATTCCTTTCTGACTAAGTCCGGCGACCATTTTCGTCAATCAATGTTAATGCGCCATTTTTTTGCAAGAAAAAAAAATGGAATGTTCTAAATATAGAGAAAATATTGTCGCTTCAAAAGTGTATCATCAAATTTACATATCCAAATAAATAAATAAATAAGTTACGGTTTTTTTTTTTTTATTATTATTATTATTGAAATATTTATTAAAAATTTTAACTCGAAGCATCATTTTATCTACACCGATTCAAATGTACAGTTTCAAAAACTAAGTTAACGAAATCTAGTTTTTATTTTGGATTATTTTTTTGTAAAACGATCGACGAACAAATTAAATTTCTTGCTTTTGAAACAACCTTTTTGTATAAACTTTGAACACACACATACGAATACGCCCCCGTGCTATATGGCATTTAATGGATCCCCATTTATCACCAACATGAAAATTCGAACCTGTTGTTGACGAAAAACACCATCCACGGCGCCGTTAATTGTAATTAATTTGCGAGCCATGTCAGCAAAGAGCGGGTGGCGAGCGTACAAATTTACGCACACAACGTCTGTAAAAATGCGGCAGTTAATTAAAAAATGTGTCCACTGTAATTAATTCGAGCAGCGCGACGTATATAATTATAATTTAGCGCTCGGCGCCGACATAGACTCAATTTGCATCGGTCACAATTCGGACCTGCAATATATTATATATGTGTGTGTTCGGTTGAGCGTGTTCGAATGCTGAGCAGCCGATTCGCTTTGGCCGTAAATTATATCCAGCCTTGTTTTTACAACCTGATACCACCGCGTCCGTCCGTCCGTCCGATGAAATGAAAAGGGAGAGAGTGCGTATGTTGGCACATCGATTTTCAGTTAAACTCTCGCTTTATGTCCTTTGTGAGACAACAAACCGGTATTATTTCTGTCCTCCTAAGTGCGCGCCGTGTTTGCTCTTTCGCCGGCCCAAAACACATTAACCGATGATGTGTTTCGCGAGCAATAAACCTCTTTCTTTACAGGTGCAAATCTGCTTTGTTTGTCTTGTAATACTGCGTTTTGAGCGCACTTGCCTCGGCAGCCTTGATGGCTTTCGGCGTCGAAAGTTTATGAATGCCTGCGCGCCTCTTCCTTTTGGATTTCACGATCCGACTTTACGATCTTTTGGGTTCTTGATTTGAAATTGCATTAAAGTCACTCAACTGGATGAATTACGGAAGGATGGAGCACTTTTGTTGCTGCTTTATTGTCTACCATCATTTTATAATAACAAAATTATTATCAAGATTGAAGTTTGTAGAGAAAAATATTGAAAAGTAAACTTTGTATTAAATTATAAAATGGACATTAAATGTTAATCGCGAGCAATTTTAGAAAGATAAATAGTTTTGAAATAATTGAAAGAGTAAACAATACATTACATGATATTGAGAAATGTTTTGTATTAGAAGCATAAAATAATAATTTTATTTATTGATTCATTGTTCAAGAAATATTAGATATCAAATAGTTTTTCTCAAAATTGCTTACTTCAATGAGCCCATGAGAAAGGGGAATTTTAAGATTTCCATTAAATGGCTAAATTAAATTTTTAGAAAGAATGAAACTTAAACGCAAAGTTTAGTGTTTTAAATTTAAAAAAATGTCTCCTTATGAATCAACAAGCAAATTTGATTGATTCCTTTATTTATAATTCAACTACAGAAATTGAGTTTTATTAAAATCTAATGTAATAAGAATTTCAATATAATAATTAGTACAAAAATTTTAATCTAATATTTTTATGTTCTAATTAGCACAATTTTAATGAAGTTGAGACAAAATCTTATTAATTAAAAAAACTTTTCCATTGTCTAACCCTTACAGTTTTACTAAAAATTATTATGTAAGGAAGTTTTATCAAAGAAATGTCCAACTGATGCAACACCATTCAATAAAAGAAAATCAAGAGCAAATAATAATATGAGAAAATGCTAATTTATTAATTATTGTTTTCCTTAAAATTATATTTAATAAATAAAAATAGCGAATATGGATTTTCTGGCGACAAATCATTTATCATTTGCAAAAAAATATACAAATGAAATAAATTAATTTCTTCATTTATATTTGTAAAGGTAATAATTTCTAGTTAAATTAACAATCAAATCACGAACATCAACATGCTGTAATAGAAATGAGATTTCGGGGAACCGTGAGCAATGCAAAGAGAGGTGGGCAATTCGATGCATTGTTGCGTTGCGGGAGACGCGCGTAATTTGATAATGGCCGCGCGGCTGGCAGAGTGTGGCGCAAATTGGATGCTGCGTGTCCCCCGCGAGTGGCGCGTGCCTCGAGTATCGATCGGCCGCCGTTCCTCAACTTTGCTGCAGCCGACAACACACCTGGCCGGCTCTCAGGTCAGGTGGGCGTTTTTTGCCCATTGTCTGCCGGCAGGTCACCTTAAAAAACTCGCCCGTTCCGCAAATTCGCTTCGGGCGATTTTTTTATTTGCAAATGATGACGAAATACCCATTCAGCTCTGCAGCTGCTGCTTTTGACACGCCTTGATTGCCGGTGTGCACGTTTGATATTTTGCACAAATGAGAGAGAGAGAGAAGTGGAATTCAGCGCACATACCTAGCTATATATTTCTGATTGATTTTCACCGGCGTCGACTATGTTTTTCATTCAGGCAAAAACTGCTGGAGTTGACGCGTTCACCGAGTTTTAATACTTTGTCAAGTACGCCTACGAACGTATGGTCGGTTCCATTTTTCACGTTGGATTAAATTAAAAAATTTCAATTAAATGGAATGATCAAAGCAATGATAAAAAATGATTGTGGATCGAGACTCAGGTGTTTTAATTGAAAAAATTATAAAAAACTAATCAAAGCAGTTTTATTTTTGCAGGCAAGCTGATGTTATTCAAAATATACTCACAGGAAAATTCAAATTATCGGAAAATCGGAACGCATAAA